TCATGTGTCCTCCTTCACTTTCCAGTAAAATGTTCATATCCTGTTGAGCACTTATTGTCCGATTTAACTTTTTTTTTTTAGCATCTATAGTAGCCACATTATCATCTTGCTCCAGCCTTTCTCGGACTTTCCTGGCCTTGTGCTTCTCTCTCCCAGTTATAGTTATCGATAGCTTTCAGTGTCCTGTCATTTCCTTGCGGAGAAAAATAGTCTTCAGGACCTCAGAGGCCTCTTAGAATACAAATGTGTTTGCTTTTGCCACTTACAGCTTCTGTGTTCCCTGGCAAATGTGTGACCACCTATGCAGTGGTGGCAACCCTGCTGTATTGTCAGGAAAACCAAGAGACAGGACGGGTTAGTAGGTCAAGAGTGGACGGTGTATGTCAAGATCTGTATCACGAGCCTCCCAGCCCCATGAATTTGCAGTGACATCTGACGCGCTCTGCTTTGTGATCAAAACTTGCCTTTTAGGAACGTGGGATTGCAAACTCAGGAGACAACATTGAAGGCAGAGTAAAGCGACTGACACCTTCATGCGTGTACATTTAACTTTTAACACTTCCTTGTAGGGCACCTCAAAATTGCTTGCATCCATCCTGATTCTCAAGTTTCTGCCTCCCAGTACGCCTGTGACAACAGCAGGGCATCTGCGATGGTGACATGGCTAACTCCTCAGCAGCTTTTGCAGACTCCCAGATGGCTGCTTTCAGAGTAGTTTCCATAGTGACCAGAAGCAGGAAAAACCTGCCTGCCCAGCTTAGCACTGTCACATACGGCTCCTGTTGGGAACTGGGAGACTCAAGGGCAGCCTGTGGGAGATGTGGCATATGCATGTTATTGCAGAGACTCTTTAAAACATATCCAGGGTCTCATCTTTTCTCACTGGTCCCACTGTAGCAAAGCCAAGGTCATTCCTACCAGTGTCACCTCTGCCTCCTGCCTTGCGGTCTCCTCTGCATAACGGAGTTTTTAAACCCGAATCAGAGCCCTCCTGTAATGCGCCAGCTCACAGAGAGTGAGGTCCATAGTCTGTCCAGCACTGTAAGGCCCTCCGTGACCCCTGCCTTGACCCCTGCCGTGTCTCCCACCGTGTTTCTTCCCTCTCCTCTCTCCTCATTCCCAGCCCCCTGGCCGCCTTGCTGCCGCTTCAAACTGCCAAGTACGTTCTTGCCTTAAAGGCTTTGCACTTGGATCCCTTTCCCCTCCAATAGCCACGTGACTGGATCCCTCACTTCCTTTTGCTTTGGTCTTAGCTCAGATGTCACCTTAACTTCAAAGAACTCTTCCTGACCACTGCGTATACATACATTCCATCTCTCTGCTGCTCTCTCTGCCTTTCCCTTGCTTTATTTCCTCACCGTGCTGAAGTTGTCACCATCTGACGCAGTCATTTTCTCATTCATTGTCCGATTCTCTAATGTAACAGCCAGGACTTTTGTCCGCTGTTGAATCTCAGCCCTTAGGTTTGCGCCTGGCTCATGGCAGTGCTCAGTAACTGTGGAGTGAATGAGTGAGTGGGAAGCAAGCTAAGGTCAGGAAGGGGAGCTGCTCGGGGAGAATTGTCTTCCCAGCCCCCTCTCCGCAGTCCCGTTACCCCCACTGCAAGTAACACCCGCTTCCTTCACACTTTCTCTGTCCTTATGGAAGAAACCACCAAATCACTGCCTCTGGGGTGTCGAGTCTTTCTCATGATCTCAACTGGCATGTATTACATTGAATATGAGATTGTCATGTTTATAGGTTGTTGTAGATGAATATCAGCAATATTATATGGCTTTTAGCATACTCAGCGTAGAAGGCCCAGATACTAGCAATAACTTTCTAGAAATTATTAGGACTACTAATTGCCTGATGCTTACTGAGTACTTGCTGTGTGTCAGACAGTGTGGAAGGGCCTTATTTGCTTTCTCGCTTAATACTCCTAACCACTGTAAGATGGAGGTATTGTTATTCTATTTCATGGATGAGAAAACAGATTCAGAGAGGCAAGTGAACTTGCCCAAGCTAATAACAAGTGGAGCAGCAGAGCTGGCATTCGAATTCACACCTGTCTGCCTGGAGGTGTCCTCACTCCGCAGCACTGTCCGGCCCCCGCAGAAGGCGGTGCAGAGGTCAGCTCTGGAGCCGCTGTGGGTGGCATAACAGCCCTGGGTTATTTTCCCAGCTCTGGCTGGTGACATCATTTCACTGGGCAGGATGGGAGGCAGCATGGTGTGAGAGGGCACAGTTATTGGAGTCCATTTGGAAAACTGTGGGTCTCTTCTAGGCTTATTTTCTCGTGTATAAGGAATAGCAACGTGTACTTCAAAAGGTGTTTTGAAGATTGAATGATGATGTGATTTTTAAAACATTTAGCTCCATCCCTTTAATGTAAAAATATGTAATGCTCTTTCTAGCACAAAATTCTGATTTAAACCAGGCCCCACGCATCCGTTGTACTGAAGGAAGATATTCCATTTTTGTTACTAGCCCCACGCAGCACCGACAAGCCCAGGATGGCTGACCCCTTAGGGAAGCAGGCTCTGCCATCTGTTTCTCAGCAGGGCTTGTCTGGAAGCAGGAGGGGGTGGCTCGCCCAGCTGGCACCAAAGCCTCCGTGGTGGTCATTTAACCCAGACTTGTCATGGCCGGGATGTGTCTGGGGGCAGGAGTAGAGGTTGGTGACTCAGCCAAGCTGCCCTTAGGAGCTAAAAGATGACTTTTTTGTCCCCAGATTTGCAAGTATGTCTTTAAGAGAACTGGGATTTTTCATGTGCTCATTTTTCAGCACATGTTCGGGTTAAGGGCCCACAGGGTAATGTATTCTCAGAGCCCCCTTGAGTGGTTGTTCGATTTTCCTTTTTTTTCCCTTTCTCACTCACGTGACCCTTCTCATTTACCCAGAATTCCCAACACCAGAATTCTGTGGCAGAGAAGGCTAGGGGCTGCTGTCGGTTAGAGTAACAACTAGAACCTCCAAACGCCTGAAAAATGGTAAAAAGAGGTTTTTCTTTAGGTCTAGGTCTCAGTGAATATGATTTCAAAAAACTGGAAGACAGCTTGTCTTAAAGTGCTTCAACCTATTGTTACCTCACGTTTATTTCATGGAATCAAATCTTTTCATTCCATAGAAGTAAAAGACGTAATGTTCAGAAAACATTGGAAAAACTATCCCCCAAACTACACTTTTGTTGAAGCTCAAATGGATGATAATAGATTCTTTTTGCTTTTAACAGAAGCACGTTAGGAATAAGAAGTTAGAAAGTTGGGGGCGGCCCCTAGTCCTGACGCCCCAGTGGATGGCTCTTATTTTTTTTGAGGCATAATTCACATGCTATAAAATTCACTACTTTTAAGCTGTATATTTCAATAGTTCTAGTATTTCATACTTTTGTTTAACTGTCACCAGTGTCCAATTCCAGAACATTTTTCATCTCCCAAAGAACCCCGTACCCATCAGTAAGTAGTCAGTCTGCATTCCCAGCTCCCGCAACCCTTGGCAGTCACCAGTCTCCTTCCTCCCTCCTTGGATTTGCCTCTTCTGGACATTTCATTTCAATAGAATCACACGATACGCAGCTTCTTGTGACTGGCTTCTTTTGCTTAGCATGTTTTCAAGGTTCATCTGTGTTTTGGCATTATCCGTACTTCATTCCTTTTTATGGCTGAATAATAATGTGTGGATATTCCATCTATTTTATATATCCATTCATCAGTTGTTGGACATCTGGGTTGTTTGTACTTTTTGGCTGTTAGGAATAATGCTGCTGTGACCATCCATGCACGAGTTTTTGTGTGGACACGTACTTTCATTTCTCCTGGGTGAATAACTAGGATCGGAATCACTGGGTCATGTGGTAACTACATTTAACCTTTCGAGGAACTGCTAAACTGTTTTCCAAAGTGGCAGCCCCATTTTACAGCCCCACCAGGGTGGCAGAGGGGTCCATTTCTCCACATCTTCACAGCGCTTGTTTTTGGCTTTTTGCTTATAGCTGTCCCAGCGGGTGAGAAGAGGTACCTCGTTGTGGTTTTGATTCGCATTTCCCTGATGCCTAACGATGTCAGGCTTCCTTTGCCCGCACACTGGCCATTCACATCTCTTTTTTTAGAGAAATCTATATTCAGCTCTTTTGCCCATTTTTAAAACTGGACTATTAATCTTTTTATTGTCACGTCCTTATTTTTTAAGAGGACGAAAAAGAGAGGGAGGCAGACAGGGGTTTAAACAGCAACAGGAGAGATTTTAATTAGATTGCAGTTTCCTAGTTTCCTAGCTGTAAGGCTAGTGGAAAATGTGGTAGAGCAGACTGTTGGAGGAAATGGAATATGTCAGTGTTGGGGTGAGTGCAGGTGTTGACTCAGAAGCTTAGTTGTATACTATCTAGATCAGCGGTCCCCATTTTTGGCACCAAGGATGGTGCTCCTATGAGAATCTAATGCCTAATGATCCAAGGTGGAGCCGAGGCGGTGATGCTGGCGCTGGGGAGCGGCTGCAGATACAGATGAAGCTTCGCTCACTCGCCTGCGGCTCACCTCCTACTGTGCGACCCAGTTCCTAACCAGCCCTGGACCGGTACTGGTCCATGGCCCGGGGGTTGGGGACCCCTGATCTAAAGGATTCTTCAAAGTTCCTGGCTCAAGGAAACCTATTCACCAAGGTTTCGGTGGTTGCTGGGTTTTGTTTTTTGAAAGACATTTGCCTGAGCATAGGGCATGAAGAAGTCTGTACATGTGATTTTCTCCTTCCTTAATAACGCGGGGCCTGAGCAGATGCCCCACGTGGCTCACAGAGCTGTGGGGAACATCGGGCTTCTAGCTTCTTTAACGTGTACCCTCCCTCGGCTGAAATGTTCAGAGCAAGAGGCTTTTTCTTTTCAGTGTGACTTTTCCTTCCCTTGTCAGATGGTGGCCAGGGCTTCCTGTCCACTGGCTACCTCTGGGCTACCAAAGTTGTAGACCGGCCCCCCAGGAGGGATTGCTTTAGAACAACTGTCCCCTTTGCTTTCCTGCCAGCACAGATGTTTCTGGACCAGATGAAGCCTGAGGAGCCTCCCAGCTGTGAGATACTGGGATAGGACAACCTGAGTCTGGATCCACAGAAGACTCGCCTCGCCTCTCCGCACAATGTCAGGTGGGAGCAGGGACCTGGGCTTGGAGTGGGCTGAGGGACTGCGGAATGAAGGGAGGCCCTTCCCTTGGAGGACCTCCTGCTGGGAAAGAGGCGGGTGGGTCTGTTTCTCACATATCTTTGAGGCTCTCAGAAGCATCCAGGTAAGAGGCGGACTGGGCCTCCTGAAGGGCTGCAGTTCCCGATTCTCCGCAGTCCAGTTTTCCCGACTCTGTCCTCTTCCCTCCTTCCCGCCTGCAAATCCTCACTCTCACATGGTGGCGCAGAGATGAAGTCGGGCTTTGCTTGAAACATGCTGCTTTCGTTTTCTTCCTCCAGAAAGTGGCACATTCCTAGGTTTCTTCCCCTCCCCAGCCTGACGTCCCTTTACCGCTGGTGCTCCAGGCAGAGCAGGCCGTGTGCGGATTTCCTAACCCGAACTTTTCCCCTGAATGCTCTGCATTTTCTTCATCTCCTATTCCTGGTTTTCCTTGATTTTAGGAAGCCATGTACCCTCTGCTTGCGGTCCCTTCTCAGCCCTGACTCCAAGCATGTGGCCCCAGGAGATCCTGGCCAAGTACACACAGGTACAGCATTTACAGCCAGGCACCAGTGGCTGTGCTACCAAGCTGGGGCACCAGTGGGGACCTGCTTCCCAGGAGTGAGTGGCCACTGCAACATACTCCCCCAGGGTCAGGGGCCACCATCAGAGATGGCATCTTAGTTGCGTACCCTCTGTGAATCACCCGTTAGGTTAGAGGCTCTCAGTTTTATGGGGGCCCAGAAATGCATAAAACATGTTTCTTGCCTTGATCTTATTATCTTTGACCTCTAAGGAAGACAAAGAAAATGCTAGCTGGGAGGATTAGAGAAGGTAGTGGCCCTAGGTAGCTGAATGATGACCAGGGAGACTTCAAGCAGGGTGGCCTTTGATCTGAGTCCTGAAGGCTGGGTGGGACTTCAGCAGGCAGCATCATGGGTGGCATCTCCCATAACTGGCGGTCCGAGACTGGGTCCCGTGTGACTGAGTCTTCCTAATCCGGGTTCTAGAAGGAAGAGTCGGTGGAGCAACCAGAGTTCTACTATGACGAGTTTGGCTTCCGGGTGGACAAGGAAGGTACGGTTGAGTGCCTCGTGTAATCTTGCTGGTGACCTTGGGGGGACTCCTGCTGCATTGACCCTCATTATGCAGCCGTGGCCTATGGGCTCTGGGCGCTTCTGCATGAGGGTGGCGCTGTTCATAACGGTTGACCCTGAACAACGCGGGTTTGACTGCGGGTTCACATATTCAGACTCTCTTCATTTGACCGATGCCATTCAGTTGACCTGGGCAGTTAAAACCCAGGTCATGCAAGGGTCAGCTGGCCGTTGGCAGTCTGCGTGCGGCGAGCTGACTTAAGGCCCACGCGGAGGTTTGACTGCATGAGACAGCGCCCCGGCCCCCCGCACTGGTCAAGGGTCAACTGTAATGGAGACCTGTGATATTTCTTACATTAATTTTATGGATCTTCATATGATAATAAAAGCAATGTACATTGTAGAGAAGTTGGAAAATACAAATATAAACATTAAAACAAATTAACCTGTAATCCCACAACCTGAAGATAACCGCTGACATTTTAGTATTTTTTCTGGCTTTGCATGTGTATACATATACTTTTAGTAACATTATGTCGTATACACATTTTTATATTGTTCTTATATCTCAACATTATTGCTCGAGCATTTTTTCTGTCAGTTAAGATCTTTTTAAAAACATTTTTCAGTGTCTACATATATCCCATTATAATGGATTTATCATATTTTTATAACTATTCTTCTGGGAGGGGCCTCTAGGCCATTTCTGTTGTTTTCTACTATAAATGCACTCATTGGTTCCTGAGTGGGCTGTTGGGGAACCTACCTGCCAGACCCAGGATAGCCTGTCACCAGGATGTAACTGTAACTAGAAGATTTTAATTGGCTGAAACTAGTCACCTTCAGGTCACTCATATTTCTAGTTCCGACATAAGTTTTCCTTGTTCTCTAGTTTGCAGGCAGATGGTTGGAAGTCAAAAGCTGGGCCTGAGAGGAACATAGGGAACGTTATAGTTTGAAGGAAATGTTCTGTATCTTGATGGGGACAGTGTTTAGACATTTGTTTATTGACATTCACCAAAGTGTACACTTAAAATTTGTGCATCTTACTATACATAAATCTGCTAAGGGCGAAGGTTTAAAAAGCTGAGGCTGAGGGTGTGGCGTTAGGATAAGCGAGGACAAGGCTCGCTGTGGGGCTGACGCACACCGAGATGACCAGGTGGCCACGAGCGCCTCATCTGCATTGACTCGAGCATCTCAGGAGGCTGGCTGTGGGTTGTCCCCTCACCCCTGCTGCATCCCCAGTGCCTCGAAGAAAACCGAAGGTGGTCTTGGCCTCGTGGAGTTTCCCAGCAGTAAACATATGCCAGGGCAAGAAGAGCAAAGAAAAAATTGGGGACCCAGAGAAGAGGGGAGGTGGACTGTGTATAAGGCGGTGAAGGAAGCTTCTCTGAGGGGAGGCACTCGGACAAACTGGGAGGAAGGGAGGCAGTGAGCTAGCCGAGGAAGGGGAACAGCAAGCACAAAGGCCCTGGGGCAGAGTGGATTTGGTGGGGAATAGCTGGAGTGGTGGGGACGAGGGGATGGGACAGGAGGAGGCAGGCCACAGAACCTTCTACACGTCTGAGCGAGGCGGGTGGGCGGGTGGCACTAGAGGGCTCTGAGCAGAGTGCCATGATCTGACCTGTGGCTTGGAAGGGCACCCTGGAGCATTGCCTTTAGGGGTGGGGTGGAACCAGGGAGGCCAGCAAGGAGGCTGCGGCAGGAGTCCGGAAGAAAGGTGATGGCTTGGACCAGGGCAGCAGTGGGAGGTGGTAAGAGTGGTGAGATTCTGCCTCAGCTCTGCGGGTTGACCGCGGGGAGGAGCCGCAGGTAGTCCGAGGCTTAGGCCTGAGCATGTGGAGAGTGGAGGTGGGTTTGTGGATTGGCCGGGTGAGACCGTGGAAGGGCAGGTTTCAGGGAGAGAGTGAAGAGCTTGGGTTTGCTCATCCTAGTGCTGGAGCGTGGGGACTGTGGCTCTGATTTCAATAGCGGATCCGGACACCGGACCGAAGCCCAGGGCCCTCTGCTTTGGAGAACATGCAGTGAGGAGACATTTTCCTTCCTCCCCTCGCACTGCTGTGTCCCTGGGCGCTCCCCTGGCAGATGGTGCCGACCCCAGCCCCGGCAGGCTGCCGGCCGTGTCTCTGATGGAGGACCCTCCGCAGCGGCTGCGGTGGCAGGCCCACCTGGAGTTCACCCATAACCACGACGTGGGCGACCTCACCTGGGACAAGATTGCCGTCTCCCTGCCCCGCTCTGAGAAGCTCCGCTCCCTGGTGCTGGCTGGCATCCCACACAGCATGAGGCCACAGGTGAGCCGGGAGGGGGCGTCTGCAGAGGGTGACCCAGGGCTCAGTGTCCCACCACAGACTCAGTGCTCGCGGGCTCCCCCTCAGCTGTGGATGCGGCTCTCCGGGGCCCTGCAGAAGAAGAAGGGCTCCGAGCTGTCCTACCGGGAGGCCGTGAGGAACAGCTCTAACGACGAGACCATTGCTGCCAAACAGGTGAGGCCGGGGCTCGGCCTGGGGTCAACAGGAGCCCCCTCGGTGGTCTCTCCGTGGCCTGGGAGAACATGGCAGCCATGTGGCAGCCCTGGGCAGTGCTCTCACCCACAAACGTGCGCCTGGAGCAGTTGGCTCCATCCAGGGCCCTCTGTGGCAGCAGAGAGAATTGTCAAAAAGGCCACCTAACCAGTGCACGTTAAATGCAGATTTCAGGCCTTGTTCAGGAAATTCTCATTCCTAGTTGCAGCCCAAGGCCCAGGAATCTGTCGTTTACTTTTATAAGTTCCCTGGGTGAATGTGACGGAATCAGCTACACACTAGCTGGGTTCTGTTCCTGAAGGGAGGAGCACAAGGAATCCCCGGTCCCGGGAGAGAAGCCCACTGGGGTGTGCCCCATACGGGGTCTCCCAGGCTCCCTCCGGGTCTCTGTGCTGGCGTGTGGCCCGCGGCCACATCTCACAGCTCCTGTTGTGGGCGGGCCGCCGGCAGATCGAGAAGGACCTGCTCCGCACGATGCCCAGCAATGCCTGCTTCGCCAGCGTGGGCAGCGTCGGGGTACCGCGGCTGCGCAGGGTCCTCCGAGCGCTGGCCTGGCTCTACCCGGAGATCGGCTACTGCCAGGGCACAGGCATGGTGAGCACAGCCCGGGAAGGGCTGCAGGTGTCCCCAAGCATGTTCCTCTGGCCCCCAGGCGTGAATGAGCTCACCGTCCTAGGCAGTAGGACAGGAAGTAGGGGCGGAGATGGGAGTCCCCAAGGGGGCCAGGGCTGCCAAGTAGGGTGGTTGCAACCCTGAGGCGGGCATGCGGTCCACGAAGTGACCCATCAAGTGGGTCTCTGTTCACGTGGAGACCTGGGTCCCAGCCCCTGGTCTCCTTGCCCTGGCCAGGTGGCCGCCTGCCTCCTGCTGTTCCTGGAGGAAGAGGATGCCTTCTGGATGATGTGTGCCATCATCGAGGACCTGCTACCTGCCTCCTACTTCAGCACCACCCTGCTGGGCGTCCAGACAGACCAGCGAGTCCTGCGCCACCTCATCGTCCAGTACCTGCCTCGCTTGGACAAGCTGCTCCAGGAACATGATATTGGTGAGGGCCGCCCACCCTCTTCTCTGGGGTCAAGGGGTCCTGAGACTCTGACTCAGGTACTGCGGGTCCAAGGCCTCCTGACAGCCAGTGGAGGACCGGGCAGCTGGCCAGCTCGGAGGAGTGGAGAAAGGCTCCTCACACGGCCCAGCCGTGGGCACAGCTCACGCAGCCTCTGTCGCTCTTGTCTCTGATGTCCTGACACTTGTCCCCTCCATCCCCGTGGACTAGGGTGGGCCTATGGCTGCTTTCTGGGAGATACCTTCCACCTCCTGCCCAGCTCGTGCGCCTGGGGCGTGCCCCTGCTCAGGTTGTCACATGCCAGCTGTCCCTGGTCTGTCTACAGAGCTGTCTCTGATCACACTGCACTGGTTCCTCACGGCCTTCGCCAGCGTGGTGCACATCAAGCTGCTGCTGCGCCTCTGGGACCTGTTTTTCTACGAGGGCTCCCTGGTGCTCTTCCAGGCCACGCTGGGCATGCTGCGCCTCAAGGTGCCACTGTCCCCCGTCCCTGGGCCACACCGCCCAGCTTCCCCATGAAGACTAGGAGTCTTGTGTGCCAGATGCAGCAGTCCTGGTGCCCCTCCTCTTGGGGACTCGGGGTTCAGGCTTCAGCAGCATGTGGCCTGAGCACTGGTCCTTCCTGAAAGCCCCTCCACCCCTCCCCCGGCAGGGTAGACTCCCTTGAGCTCAGCTGATCATCCAGGGAAGTCACACATGCCTGGGATGGTGACGGGGCTCGGTGCCGGGCAGTGACTCCTGCCTCCTTCCCCTCGTGTGGCGCAGGAGGAGGAGCTGATTCAGTCAGAGAACTCGGCCTCTATCTTCAACACGCTGTCAGACATACCCTCGCAGATCGAAGACGCGGAGCTGCTGCTGGGGGAGGCCATGCGGCTGGCTGGCTCCCTCACTGACATGGCCGTGGAGACCCAGCGCCGCAAGCACCTGGCTTACCTCATCGCAGACCAGGGCCAGCTCCTGGGGACCAGCGCCACCACCAACCTCTCTCAGGTAGGCCTGTGAGAGAGGAGGCCCTGCCTCACCCACAGCGTGGGGGTCCCTTGAGGAAGCCCAGAGCAAGAGAGGCCCCTCTGGGCTCCGCCACTCCCCGCCAGCTTAGCACGCATGCCCGGCATGGCCCAGCAGCAGCAGACCACAGCTGTGGAGAGATGGGCAGCAATAAGCCCGGTTTGGGTGAAGGACAGACCCAGCATTGAACCGATAGTGCATCCCTGACCCTCAGAGCTGGCCTAAGAGGCTGCTGCCCATGAGGTGGCATAAATGAGGGGCCCTGGGTGCCCTCCTGCCACTGACCCGCCCTTGTGTCTACAGGTGGTTCGTCGCAGGACCCAGCGGAGGAAGTCTGGCCTCACCTCCTTGCTCTTTGGTGAGAACTGTGCTGCAGGCAGCTGTGCACTCGGGCGAACTCAGCGGCCCCCTTCCCCGCAGCCACATCTAAGCTCTGGGAGCCAGGCGTGGGGGTGGCGGTGCATACCAGGGGGTGTCCATTCTCACACCCCAGTGGACTCTAAGCTTCCCTGGAGTTGGGAAGGGGGCTTGGCAGGGACCACAGCTGCTGTAACTCTCTGGACCTCCCAGGGGTAGACGACCTGGAGGCACTCAAGGCCAAGAACATCAAGCAGACGGAACTGGTGGCTGACCTCCGGGAAGCCATCCTGCGCGTGGCACGCCATTTCCAGTGCACAGACCCCAAAAACTGTAGTGTGGTGAGTTGCAGCCTCCCAGCCCTACGCCCAGTGGCTTAACATGGGGGTCTCCTTCCCCATCCTGAGGCGCCTATTTCTTGGTGAGCTTTTCTGCCACCCTGGCAGGAGCTGACCCCAGACTACAGCATGGAGAGCCACCAGCGGGACCACGAGAACTACGTGGCCTGCTCACGTAGCCACAGGCGCCGGGCCAAGGCCCTGCTGGACTTTGAGCGGCACGATGACGATGAGCTGGGATTCCGCAAGAATGACATCATCACGGTGCGTGGGGCTCTGCGGCGGGTGGTTGCTGGGAGTGGATGCCAGTGGTCCTGCCACCTGCTGGCCCTGAGGCTGCAGCCAGGTCATCCAGCTCACTCGCGCCCTCCCCCTGCTGAGCGTTTCCCTCCTCGACCTGGCCAAGGATGAAACCAGATGATGCGCGATGCACTGGGCATGGCAACTGGGGCCCGGCTCTCTGCTCTTTTCCTCTGCAGATTGTTTCCCAGAAGGATGAGCACTGCTGGGTGGGGGAGCTGAATGGCCTGAGAGGTGAGGTCTTGGTCCCCATTTGGGGGCAGCGGGTTGGGCAGTGAAGCTGCATCCCCGACCCCGTCCCCGCCAGGAACAGGCCGAGCCTGTCCTCAGCCCCATGGGGGAAAGTGTGAGCACACCAGGCCCCTCACAGGACCCTGCTTCTCCCCTAGGCTGGTTTCCTGCCAAGTTTGTGGAAGTTCTAGATGAACGGAGCAAAGAGGTGAGAGGGGAAGCCAGGAAGGGTGCCCTGGAGCTGCCCCCACCTCAAGCCTGGTGAGGCCTGCACGCCCCCAGCCAGGGCCTGTGTTCTCAGTGGCTTGTGGCGGCGGCTCTGAGGCCAGGGAGAGGGCAGCTGCAGGCATGGGGCTGGGGCCTTTCAGACCCTGTCCCCGCCATCAGTACTCCATCGCCGGGGATGACGCTGTGACGGAGGCGGTCACGGACCTCGTGCGAGGGACCCTCTGCCCGGCCCTCAAGGCCCTGTTTGAACATGGACTGAAGAAGCCATCTCTGCTTGGGGGCGCCTGCCACCCCTGGCTGTTTATCGAGGAAGTAAGTCAGTGGCTGGACGCATGTCCTCCACTGTCCTTTTCCCCACGCTCCTGGGTTCTGTGGAGCTGGCAACAGGAGCTCCTGGGGTGGTGAAGTGCACTTAGACCCTGTGGCTTTGACCTGGGACCTATCCCATTGTCCCTGACACTCTCCCCATTCCCCAGGCAGCAGGCCGGGAGGTGGAGAGAGACTTTGACTCGGTGTATTCGCGCCTGGTGCTGTGTAAGACGTACAGGTAACCGGGCCTGTCCCCTGCCCTGGCAGCCTCGTCGGGGGCGAGGGAGCAGCCCAAGTCTGCACACCGGGCAGCACTGGCAGCTCTGGTCCCCCTCCTTCCCCAGGCTGGATGAAGATGGCAAAGTTCTGACCCCAGAGGAGCTGCTCTACAGGGTAGGCAGGGCCATAGGCAGGGCTGGCCTCCGTGGGCTGGCAGCTGGGGGGCACCTGAGTGACGGCTGTGTCTTCACAGGCTGTGCAGTCTGTGAATGTGACCCATGACGCTGCACACGCACAAATGGATGTCAAGCTCCGCTCCCTCATCTGTGTGGGGCTCAAGTGAGTGTACCTGCTGCGGGTGCCACAGTCCAGTCAGATGAGTGGCGGGCTGGGCCCTGCAGGGAGCGGGGGCATGTGAGCCGGGCCCCCCAGGAGGACAGGCAAATAAATGGAAGTTTGCAAGGGTGACTCTCAAAGGCCTTTCTCCGGCACAAGACCAGTCATTGCTTTGTGGCCAGGGAGGCACTTGGGGGTTTTGTGAAGCACAGACTTTAGCAAAGTGCCCAGTGAACGGGGCTCCCAGAAACGAGGCTGCTGCGGCAAATGAGGGTGGGGGCCTTGGGCATTTGTGAGTCTTGAGCCTGGGCCAGGGTCAATGAGATATTTCTGGATTTACCACCTGGTGGAGGGCGTGGCCTGTAGGCTGCTTTTACCTGGAGTGGGGTGGGAGGAGGGGTGGTTTACAGGACAGCTGTCCCCGAGACTAGCTCAGAACCTGGTGCACCTCATTCCTGGGTTGACCAGGGCAGAGGCCCCTGTGCCCGGCAGGAGGTGGTGGCTGTCTCAGATGTGGAGCGAGCTGTGACAGGACAGAGGGGAGTGGAGGCCATGGGCCCCTGAGTGTGTCTCCCAGGGAGGAGCAGCCAGAGCGAGGGGCTGAGAGTAAAGGAAGTGGGGTCACCTGAGGTGGCCTCAGAGTGGCGGGAAAGGGGCTGGTGGCCCAGCCCAGCACCGAAGGGCAGAAACTCCCAGTCCTCAGAGAACCCAGCAGACGAACCCCTCCCCCTGTCCCAGTGAGCAGGTGCTGCACCTGTGGCTGGAAGTGCTCTGCTCCAGCCTGCCGACCGTGGAGAAGTGGTACCAGCCCTGGTCCTTCCTGCGCAGCCCCGGCTGGGTCCAGATCAAGTGTGAGCTCCGGTGAGGGCCCCCTGCCCTGTGGCCCTGGGTCAGGGAGGGGTGGGCAGAGCCAACCTGAGGGCGACTGACAGCCTCCCCTCCTTCCCTTCCAGTGTCCTCTGCTGCTTCGCCTTCAGCCTCTCCCAGGACTGGGAACTTCCTGTGAAGAGAGAGGTGGGTGGATGGGTTTGGTCCTCGGTGGGGCGTGGCAGGCCTGGTCTCTGCAGGCGGATCAGTTCAAACACTTGTGGGTGGCTGAGGCAGGGCCCCAGGGGAACCCTGGGTGCTGGCGTCATGGGTAAGGACCACTCTGGCCCCTGCCACCTTGGGCTTCCTTGCTGTGTGCCCCAGCTGTGCATTCCATGACGGTGAGGGGCTGTTTGTGTGCAGGAAGAGAAGAAGCCCCTGAAGGAGGGCGTCCAGGACATGCTGGTGAAGCATCACCTTTTCAGCTGGGACATAGATGGCTGAAGCTCGTCCTCCAGTGGCCCGGTCATGCCAGGCTTCCCCGACCCATTGGCTACTAGAGCAGCTCCTTCCTCAAGAACAGCGCTGGCCCGGGCCCAACCCAAGCTTCAGGGTCAAGGAAAGGAGACACTCTGGCCAGGCATCATGGTAGGGAGATAGAAGACGCCACCCTGGGCACCCCAGAGCGTCTCTGGAGGGCAGTGGGTGGCAGGAGCAGAAGATTGGGGCCCAGGCCCCAAGCTCACCGTTTGTACTGACCAAAACCTTGCGAAGAGGTGCAGAGCCACCTCTGTCAGTCTTTCCTCAGGAAGGGCTCGGGGGTGGTAAAGGCTCCTTGGTTTGTAAATAAACTGGCTTTAAGAAAGCACTTTGTCTTTGGTCCAGTCAGGGCTCCAGAGCTGTAGGTCCTTTCTGGAATGGTCTAGCACAGCCAGCCAGGAAGAAGGAGTAACAAGCCGGTATTTTTGTTTTTATTTTAAAAAGTTCACAATGCTTTCCCTCACCTGTCCCAGCACTGGTTTTGGTGACACCATCCCCAACCCTCTACGAATGACAGTGACATGCCCCAGAGCAGGAGGAAGCCAAAACTTGAGGGCCACCTCTGGACCCACCACAGGGCTAAAGCCCCTCCTGTCCCAGGGCGGCTGCAGTGAGGCAGCAGGATGGAATGTGGGCGGCGGCCAGGAAGCACCTCTGCCCTCGTGGCACTGATAAGGAACAGGAAGAAGGACAGGTGGGGTACAGGCTGTGATGGGGTGGCTGCATGTCAAACACACGTGATGGGTGGGGCTGAGGGCCCCAGGAGCAGTGGTCTCCAGGCCCTTCTGTATGTGCACAGTAGGATGGGAGGGAGCTGCATCCACCTCCCACCCCCCCCCAAAAAAAATGTGTATATATATGTATGGCGATATATAATATAGAGGTATATATATATACACCTGTACAGAAAATGTCTGCCACCAACCACTAACTGGTTATACTACACCAACACTAATATGACAGGGAGCCTCCCAACCCCCTCCCAAGAAGCCTGGGACTCTGTTGGCATAACGAGGAATGGGGAGGTAGAGGCCCGGCTTATTTCTTCCTTCACAGGGAAGAGAGATTCATGCCTCACCTGCCTGCATAAAATGCAGACAGGGCACCTCCAACCTCACAAAAGGTCAAAGAGGCACCCCGACCTGTCCAGGTCTCCAAAACCTCAGGGTGGGACCCAGAGCTGCTGCTTGGCAGCCTCTCTCCTCCCCCCCCCAAAAAAAATGTGTATATATATGTATGGCGATATATAATATAGAGGTATATATATATACACCTGTACAGAAAATGTCTGCCACCAACCACTAACTGGTTATACTACACCAACACTAATATGACAGGGAGCCTCCCAACCCCCTCCCAAGAAGCCTGGGACTCTGTTGGCATAACGAGGAATGGGGAGGTAGAGGCCCGGCTTATTTCTTCCTTCACAGGGAAGAGAGATTCATGCCTCACCTGCCTGCATAAAATGCAGACAGGGCACCTCCAACCTCACAAAAGGTCAAAGAGGCACCCCGACCTGTCCAGGTCTCCAAAACCTCAGGGTGGGACCCAGAGCTGCTGCTTGGCAGCCTCTCTCCTTGGTGGTGAGCCAGGGAGGGAAAACTGGGCCCATGATTGTCAGCACTCAGCGATCAGGCAGGAGAGCGCTGAGCTCCCTAGAGTTCCCGAGGCTTTCCAACTTCCAGCCCCGCCAGTCCCCCAGCAGACCTGAGAGCTACAAGCAGGAATCCCAGTGCAGCTGCAAGTCATGGCCATCGAGGAAGTCTGTGGAGAAGAGGCTGGGGGCCGAGGTGCTGAGTGGGGCCAGGCTGAGCACAGGGCCGCCTGATGACAGCTCCAGCCAGTCCATGCTGTCCAGGTGGCCTTCAGCCAGGTCCAGGCCCATGCTGCCGGGCTCAGGGGCAAAGTGCAATTCCGAGGTGTCCATGGGTGAAGGGGGGTGGTCCAGGATGGCAGAGCTGCTTAGCATCTGGCTGTGGAGGTCGTCAATGAGGGAGAGGGGCTCTGGCCCCTCATGTCCACCAGTCAGCAGGGGCAGCCCCGTGCTGCTCTCCAGGAAGTCCTCCAGGCGCCCAGGTAAGGTGGGTGAGCCCGATGGAGGCGGGGCAGCCTGAGCGAGCTCAGCAGAGGGTGGGGACTGGGAGGAGAGGGGTGATCCGCAGGCTGCTGTCGAGGGGGACTTCTGTTTCCCTGGCAGGGATGGTGGCTCCTTAAAATCTGCTGAAATTTCTGCCAATCAAGAAAGTGAATGATGTCAGAAACCTGAATAGGACCTGAAGTTGGACCCCACTGTGTATAAAAAAGTAACCCAAAATGGGTCAAAAGGCCTACATTTAGGAGCTAAAACTACAAAACTCTTAGAAGGAAACACAGTGGGACATCTCCATGGATCTGGTCATTTCTTGGTTATGACACCAAAGCACAGGCAACGAAAGAAAAAATACCTAATCAGATACATAAAAATTTAAAACTTTTGAGCAACAAAGAACACTATCCAGAGAGTGGGAGAAACAATCCATGGAGTGGGAGAAAATATTTGCAAATCATATGTGACAAATGATTCATACTCAGAATAAAGAACTACAACTCAACAACAAAACCCAACTGAAAAATAGGCAAAGGACTCAGAGACATTTCTCCTGGTGACAAGATACACAGATGACCTATAGAAACACATAAAAGAAACACGACATCATTAGTCACCACAGAAATGCAAATCAAACCACAATGACATACCACTTCATACCCACTAGGATAGCTATTAAAAAAAACACGAAAATAAGTGTTGGTGATGATACTGAGAAAGTGGAACCCTTGTGCACTGCTGCTATGAATGAAGTCGGTGTAGCTGCTGCGGACGCTGGCGGTCCTTCAAAAAGTTAAATGCTGAATTAGCAACAATCTCACTTCTGGGTATAGACCCAAAAGAACTGACAGCAGGGACTCACACAGATTCCCGCACACCCATGTTTGCAGCAGCTTTAAAACAGCCAAGAGGTGGAAACAACCCAAGGGCCCATCAGTGGATGAATGGATCAACACGATGTGGTACGTCCACACAATGAACGATTCGGCCACATCTCTGCCACTGTGCTAACTGAAATAAGCCAGAAATGAAAGGGCAAATACTGTCTGATTCCACTTACATGGGGTCCTAAGAGTAGTCAAAATTATGGAGACAGAAAGAAGAGGCTACCAGGGACTGGGAGGAAGGACTGGGAAGTTACCGTGTTAACGGGTAAACGAGAGTCAGTACAGGATGATGAAGTTCTAGAAAAACAGGGTGGTGATGGCTGCACAGCACTGAAAGTACTTAATGCCTCTGAGTTGTACATTTTAAAATGGCTAGAATGGCAAATCTTATATGTAATTTAAAAAAGTTACACAGAAACCAGGCTTGTTCCCCGACCCTCTAGTCCTGTCCTCTCTCCTATTTTCCTCCCGTTCCAGCTGGACACGGTCTCACCAAACAACCAGATCCCTCAGAGGTGGCCTGTCAACCTACCCAGCTGCCACCACTGAGGCTGCTGCTGCTGGCCCCGCCGATTCAGATGCCCTCTGCTCCTAGCATCCTTGCCACTTCCTCCCTGGCCACTTCTCAGTGTCTGACCCCTTTGGGTGCAGGCAGCACCCTCAGCGCCCTCTCTCTGCCATCTGGTCAGCGCTAGCACTCGGGCTGCTCCCTCTCCACCTGTACAGTCTGTTTCGCGCGGCCTCATCTCTCCCACTCTCGGTTCCTGTCTGGACATCGGGAACCCTGGAAGCTCACAGCCAGGCCTCTCCTGAGCCCTGGACCAGCCTCTCGGCCCCAGAGCACCTCCCAGCCCAGCAGCCTCCATGCCACCTGCCCTTGTTAGAAATGCACCCCAGGTCCCACTGCAGACTCCAGCATCTGCTTCTAACATCAGAATCTGACCTCGAGAGTAGTGTCAGCTATCGAGCTTTCTGAGAAAATTCACCATTTTACAGTGTACAGTTCCACGGCTGAGCTCTCGCTTTACCTGTATCATCTTGCTTAAGCCGCTCCCTGCTGACATAATGAAAGCAAAGAGAACTTTCGCACACTCTGTCTTCTTGCCCACTGCCGCCACTGAAATCCTCGTGCTGCCACCTGTAGCCAACCCCTCCCCTACTGCCCTCTGCCATCCCGACACTCGGGGATTCCCGACACACACTGCCCGTTTGCTCCCCTCTGCAGAGACCTCTCCAGACCGGCTGTCTCCCACACCCTCAGCCCCTCTTCATCCTG